TGGACTGTTACTATGCGGTTTTCTACTTGTATCCAGTTTTCCCCACAAAAAGATGAAAACACATCCATTATTCGGAATAGATAATTCAGCAGTAATTCATCGAAAAAAACGATCGATGGCTTCCATTTCTTTATCAGAATACAACATACGGAATTGCAATGTGAGATTTAACGATGACATGTTTCTTGGTGTTCATGACATTTATTCTTCTTTGCCAATTTTATCTCAAATGGAGCCGGTTGGCTTTGAATGGAAGTGCTTTGAATATGTACAAACAGAAGATGCTAGTTTTCATTACGTTTTTGCAAAATATGACGGCACAAACTATAAATTCTTAACGGAAGATAACGGAAATCTTATTCTCAGCAAATCTATAGCAAATTCTGACATAAATACCACTCCATTGTATATAAAAAGGTATTTATTTATCAAAGAGATACAATGCGAGGTGGAAACGTATTAAAATTATTTGATGAAGCTAACAGAAGAGTTGGGTACAGCAACACGTGATGACTTAGGAACTTATTTACAACTTAAAAATTCAAATAACGCGGCGTTAGTTTATATTTGTACAACTAGTCCAAATTGCAATGTTTTGTAGCAAACTGGAAGAACATATTATATAAATTTACCTATTAATTAAAAAAGTAGCAAATTTATATATTTATTATACTTGGATACTATTTGTATTTTTCTCCTTTTCATGTAATGCAAAATTCGTAGTTTTATTTATATTATTTTCATAATTTTATACCTTGAAAGTTTATAATTTTTTTTCATATTTTTATATGGCGAAGTGCAATTTTTTCAATTTAATATCTATGAATACGCTATTTTATGAAAAAAAAGATATATATTCTATAACAAAAATAGTTTTTGTTTGACTAATTTTATAATTTGGAATATTGTATACCGTGTGGGAAAAGTTGCTGCAGAAAGTTTCACCGCAAGAAATTTCGCCGCATAGAAAAACTCGCAGCATGAAAAATTGCCACAAAAGTATTTTGCTAAACAATTTTCAGCTTTCAATATCATCGGGCTCCAGCGCGAAATGTTACCACGGCTTCTCTGTTTTCATAGTCTCACTTAATACCTAAATAAGGTTGAGGTATTGAACGCAGTTTCCTCCTGAGAAATTAACAAAACGGTTGAATTAACGGTTAAGATAACAGGCTTAGAGATTTTGAAATTTGACCTGAATTTTCGAAATTTCTAGAATACTAAAAAATATAATCCGTTTTGTTCTACAATGACTCTATATACAAATTATCGAAATTTTAGTCTAATTAGTTTTATAAAGTGATTCAAAGAGTCAGCAGGATAAATTTGAAGAAGAATCTGAGTTAAAAATTGCATTTTTGAGAAAAAACTAATAATTTGTGTCAATTTCGGAAGGTAAAGCATTGACAGATCATTAACATTATTATTCTAAGCCTTTTGAACTACATTTTACAAATAGGTTCAGATAAATTTCGATCGAATAACAACAATCCAGAATCTATCCCGAATTTGCAATAAAAAATATGATTTCAAATTGAGTCGTAGATGAATAATATAAAGTAGGCTATGACGTTTATAAACGTTTGCCTTCAGGTTGTGACCCAGTGACTCAGATAACATTCTTGGAAAACTATTGTTGATGTTTTCTGGCAACATGATTCGGACAGTATATGACGCAAAATATGTTTCTATATTTCAAATTGGACCAAAGTACATTTTCAAATTAATTTGTCGCTTTTATATACTATTCGACTTCAATCAAATATCAAATGATTCATTACGTTGCCAAATATGAGAGTCAGTTATATATTGATGGATTTAACACGAAGTTCTGTAGGAAATAGTTTAACTTTTTATCGACAAATGCAGAACGAAACTACGCACTTGCATGAGGAATATCCAGAAATTATAACGAGATCCTTACATGTATAATTAATGAAAAACCCCAAGTGATCGATTAGACAAAAGGTGACAAAAAACAAAAAGTAGCTGAGAGGTTTGTAAAGAGTTCAATACAAAACTACAATTTTACAAGTGTATATAATTAGGTATAATCTTTCTACGATGCAAATGCTCACGAAAATTGTAGTTTTTTATTAAAACTTAAATTTAATTATTGGAAAGAGGAAATGTGGATTTCTCTATTTTTCTATGTCACAAAATTGAGCAGCATTGAATATCAAAAACGCATCAATGATCAAATATGCTATCAGCATTACAATTACG